TGTCTTTGTCCTGTCTCCCTCCCCTGCGTGCTATCTCTTGTACATCTTTCTTTCGTTTTTCTCTCCTTTTCCTCCCCCGCCCTCCCTCCCTCCCTCCCTCTCTCTTCATACATTGTGTGAATAATTGCCTTCCCACGGCCGTAATTGCACCTCCCTGTCAGCCAGAAGTGTGATCAAAGTGGCAGCGCGCTCAATTTTCACTTGCTTACATTGTACAACTTCTCGTCTCCCTCGTCCCCTCGGCGGGGAAAAAAAGAAAAAACCAGTCCCATCTCCCGCTGCAGTTGTTTTATCGGTGAGATTAATTTCTGAGCCCATAAATATGTTTGTATTCCATTCAGATTTCACCGTCTCTCCCCCGGGCATTCTGCTGTCCCTTGGCTGCGTAGAGTACTTTTCCTTTAGGCGTGATCGACCTCTGGATTTGACTTGAAGCACCCACGGACGTCTCCTCGGAACCGTCGGTAGAACGCAGCAGCGCACGCTCCGGTCGCCGAGGTGTTTCATCCACGGCGCCCAGAGGACGAACCTCGTCTCTCCTCTCGGCTCTGCTGTAACGTTTGCAAAGGAGTCCTTTTCTAGTCCACTCAGACTGACGAAGGACATTTTGAAAAAGTGTCTAAATCGATTGCGGCTGAAAAGAGAAACGTCCTTTTATTTATTCCTCGCAACTAATTCATGCATTTCAACCGCAATCAGTTCGGGCGGAGACTCGGGGTTCTTGTCGAGGTGGTTAACCTTGCAGAGGCTTTTTGTCCCACGACTTAGCACAGCCTCAGCCATCTTTGTTCCTGCAGGGCCACCATCTAGACTAGATGCCCCCACTGGTGACCTCACTTGCTTGCACCATGGAGGGGGGGGGGGCGGGGGGCATTTGGGCGTTTAGCGTCTGTCTGTCTCGTTCTAATGTCTCCGACTGTAATGGCCGCCGCTCGCTCGCTCTCACGGCGCCCGCACAGAGGGAAGGACTTAACTCCCATCGCAGCCACAGCTCAGCGGCTTCCAGGAGCCTGCGAGGTCGGCGCCACAGAGATTGATTCCCGCGCTTCAGGGCCTGAGGCACAGAGCGCCGCGCGCGGGGAGAGGTCGGCCGCCGCCGCCGCCAGCGGTCAAATGTTGTGGTTAATCACGCGGCGGTGCGGACTTTGGCTGGTTCCTCGGCTTGTTTCGGCGGGCAAACGGAGGATCAATTAGTGTTTTGGATAATCACAGCTGTGGCTAATTGGTGCGGCGAGGAAGCGCTCGTCGTCCTTAATTACCGCGCTCGCTGCGGGTGACGGTTAAAGTGCCACTCCGAGTTACGTGTCGCGCCGGCGGCCGGAGTCACGAACTCCGCCGAGGTCAGAGGAACCTTGTTTTGTCAGCATATGATACTTGTGTGAGTTTCGGTGGAATGTTTTGCTTACTTACCGCGTATCAGAAAGCAGGAAATGAAAAGATTTCCACCGAAAACAAGCAGAAATTGCCCCCCCCCCCACCCATCTCGACCCAAACCGCCACCTGGAATTCCAGGATGATGCCCGCTTCCCTCTGCGTGTCCGCTGGTCAAGGCCGTGATGTTGACGGTGGTAATTGTTCTTTTGGGGAGAAAAGCAGCTTAAAACCAGGAATTGAGAATTCATTCATTGCAGCAACGGGAAACATTTGGTTTGTGTTTGGCCCCAAAGCACCGACATCATCGAAAAAAGAAGTTGGTCCAATAGAAGCTTCTGAGATTTAACGTGACCACAATATTTAGTTATGCTGCTTATAATTTGACTTGTCTTCGGTCGGCGTGATGCTGATATTTCAGTCGCCGTCGCCGCTGTCACTGTCGGCCCTGCATGCCCCTTTTTTATCATTTGCAGCCCCCCCCCCCCCCCCCCCCGCTTATTTGTTACTTATCACACTGGAAACGGCCACGCTGACATTTCTCTCGCCTCCGTGGATACAGGCGATCGTGGACACCGTCGACAACCTCCTGAGGCCGGAGGCCCTGAAATCCTGGAGGGACATGAACGCCACGGAGCAAACGCACGCCGCCACCATGCTGCTGGACACCCTGGAGGAGGGCGCCTTCGTCCTCGCCGAGAACCTCATCGAGCCGGCGATCGTAAAAGTGCCCGCGGAGAACATCAGTGAGTTTTCACGCGCGCACATCTGCCGCTCAACAGTCCCCGATGCTGCCTGTCATGCAGATGTGTTTTTTTGTTGGGGGGGGGGGGGGGGGAAACCGCCCGCCCCCCGTCTGTAGGCTGATTTCATTTTCTTTTTTTTTTTATTTCTAGTGAAACATTATTTCAGCAACATGGTCTCATTTATTGAACTCGCATTTGTGCAATGAAGTGCTCTGTTGCCACGGTAACGGTCTCCTACTCACCCTTTTTTGTCTTATACCTCATTGGTTTTTAATCTTTCCCTCATAGGAAAGTCACCTCATTGAGCGTGTGCTGCAATATGAACTGTGCAGACCTCCGGTGGGGGGGGGGGGGCGGGGGTGGTGGTAGGGGGGGGAAAACAAGGAGCCGGGTGAATGGCATTGTTCCTTTCAGGGGGCACTCTATTTCCGAACCGGGCCCATTAAACGCTAGTTAGCTAAACTGATAAGGAGTAGTTGCTGTGTTTCTTCCAAAAACACTGATTAACGCATTGTGCTACCCGCCCCGGGTTTGGGGCCCTAATCACCCCATTTAGGCCGCTTTTATGAACTCGGGGACAAAAACAGCAAAAAAAGAAAAAAAATTACCAAACGTCGATTCGACGACCACAAAAAAAAAAAAACCCAAACAGCTTCCTCGACCTCCACGAAAAGTTGGGAAAAATGTGAAAACCACGGTTGCTCCTAATTAACAGCGTGTTGATGTGCAGAAAGGAAGCCTCCAGGTACGTAACCAGGGAGGGGGGACCAGAGAGACAGAGACGGGGGGGCTGTCAGGAGACGTCTATCTGAGGAAGTGAGGCAGCGAGTGTGCTGATACGTGTGTCCTCTTGACCCTTCAGTAATTTCCACACATCAAAAGGAGCAGCACCACCCGGGGGGGTGGAGGGGGGGGGGGCGGCTGCAGGAATTCTCAGAGATTTGCTCGTCTAGCTCCGAGTTAACCCACGGGGGGGGGGGGCGATGGAAAAGTCAAAGTCAAAGCTCAATGATGTTCTTGATATTTGCCGTTCATGCCGCAGTGGGCTGCAGGTTCCCGTTTGCTCCGAGCAGCTCAGTGACGTGTGTTTCTTTATGTTTTTATTACAGTGAATTACATTCTGCAGGGTCTCGCCGTTGACATTAGATTGTGTCTCTGGTGCAATGCACGTGGAGTCTTTACACGGAGCGTTCGGGGCGGCCGGCGCTCCATCAAACACCATGTGACGCTTTTGCCTCGGTTGTAATGCATCGCTCTCCTCCCCCCCCCGACCGTCTCTCAGTGCTGGATGTGTACGTGTTGAGCACCGACGGTCAGGTGCAGGACTTCAGGTTCCCTCAGACCAGCAGGGGCGGCGCTTCTCTTCAGCTGTCCTCCAACACGGTCAAAGTCAACAGCAAAAATGGTGAGAAAAAACACGTCTGCTTTTCTTTCCTTTTTCCGGTCGTTCACTGGGGAGAAATAAAGTCCGGTCATTCTCCCACCAAAACAAGCGCAATCATGCAGCTTGTCAAGTTCGACATTGTTGAATTAGTGACCACGTTACTTCTTTTTGTATCTGTCACTTATTCTTTCGCCAGAGTTGATGATTGTTGGAACAGTGTAATTTACAGCCGATAAAGAGCCACGATGGAATGATTCCTGGAACCCGGCAATGAGTCATCCTTCAGGCACTTCCCAATTCCCTCACCTATAAGTCACTGGGTTCTGTGAAAGGGGTTTTTGGATCCTCATGCTGGTCTGCGGATAACAGAAGGAGAAGAGATCGTAACGTTTTGTGCTACGTCAGTAAATACTGCTCTCAGCAAATCACACAGTTTTTACTCTCTCGCTAACAAGTGGCTTAATGAGACTACAGAAAGTCCTCAGCCGAGGCGCGTGTGCTCACGAGGCCGCGTTACGATTAAAACAATAAATCCAAGGCCACGCTAGCAGAGAGTCATTTACCGAGAGGAAAACAGTCAAATAGGCTCGATGTTGCTGCCAATTTCCCAACTTGTCCGTGTTTTATGGACAGGGGAGCTGCAAAGGGACCCTTAGAATGTGCTTAATCCAAAATTACAAAGTATATGTGAGTGGCATCGACCTTTGCATCTCCACAGGGGGAATTAGTGTTGTTCCTAAAATGTGAAACTATTCCTTTTCAAGGTGTGCTGCATCCACACACTGGATGAATACGTCTCTCCTCACAGGAGAGACCACTTGTAATTCCCTCGTTCACGTCCCATCGTTGCGTTTCTGCCGTTTTGCAGGCGTCGCCAAGCTGGTGTTTGTGCTCTACAAACACCTGGGCCAGTTCCTCAGCACCGAGAACGCCACGCTGAGGGGCAACCCGAGCGGACGCAACCTCTCGCTCACCGTCAACTCCCACATCCTGTCGGCCTCCCTCACCAAGGAGTCCAGCCGCGTGTTCGTGGCCGACCCCGTCGTCTTCACCCTGGAGCACCTGGACGTAAGCCTCCTCGGACCCACGCGCCCAAGCTGCAAAAGCTCCGGCAGTGACAAATGTCTGGCGTAGCAGCCACAGCAGCTTCCTTCTTTCTCTTATTTCATCCCTTTTTTTCTTTCAACCGTCAATTGCAATTAAAACAACCTTAGATGTGCAGATGCTGCCCGTGCATTTTGCAGCTTGTGTTCATATGCGTTTCGTCATCTCTCCCTCTCTGTGTTTGTTTGTTTGTTTGTTTGTTTATTTTAGAAGGAGCACTACTACAATCCCAACTGCTCCTTCTGGAATTACTCTGAGCGCAGCATGATGGGATACTGGTCCACCCAGGGCTGCAAACTGCTGGACACCAACAAGAGCCACACCACGTGCTCCTGCAGTCACCTGACCAACTTCGCCATCCTCATGGCCCACCGGGGGAACGTGGTACGTGGCCACTTCTTCTGTTCGTCCCGCTGACAGAGGAGCGGCATTCCAGTGGAGATAATTGGATTATTATTATTATTAGATTATTGCTGGAGAAGGTAAATGGGGGTGGGGAGGCTGTCACTGAGATTGCAGATCAGGGTAGGAAGTGCGTTACCATTATTCCTCCATGCATATGTCCCTGAGAATCATGGGAAGCCGCCTGACCCCGCCCCCCCTCCCCCTCCTGAAGTGGTTCGCGAAATGCAATTACGATCCAATTACGCCGTAAATGGCATGTGTGGCGGGGACCTGTAGCCAGGAACACATGTGGAGGATAAGTTTGCGGTGTGTTTAACAGCACGTCCCGCTTCATGAGCCCCGTCCCTGTCGTCTGTGTCGACCTCGACCGTGACCGCAGCCCGAAAACCAGAGCTGAGCTCCGCCTCACACCAATTCCCAACTGCCACTCCTGCCCTCAATAAAATGACTTAATACCACAGGGGGGAATTGCCTCCCTTTCGGGCCACCGTGATGTTTCGCACGGTCAAGTCGGCTGTTTTCACGTTTGCCTGGTTTCCCGCCTTGAATCGCGCGCCGCTTTAAGATTTGATCTCCATCACGTGGTGGAGGTGGCCGCCGCGATGCTCGGTCCGCGAGGCCACGTGTCATCGGGGGGCGGTCAGGTCGAAGGACGGGTTGTGAAAAAACGTTTCCCATTTTTGAAACAGGGATTTTACGCTAAAAAGGTCAGATCTCAACTTCATCTGTCCAGCTTGCATGGCGTGAATGAGGGATATCTTGAAGCGCCTGAATGAACAGTAGGAACGGCCACAACGTGCATGACCCAGTTTCTACGTCCACCTTCCCTGCAGGGCGACGGCGGCGTCCACGAGCTCCTTCTCACCGTCATCACGCGGATGGGCATCGCCGTTTCCCTCGTCTGCCTCGCCATCAGCCTCTTCACCTTCTGCTTCTTCAGAGGTCTGCAGAGCGACCGCAACACCATCCACAAAAACCTCTGCCTCAACCTCTTCATCGGCGAGCTCGTCTACCTCGTGGGCATCAACATGACGGAGCCCAAGGTACCCGAGAGGCATGTGACGGGTGCGCTGCTGGTGAATGGGGGTCATCTGTCATAAAGGGGCTGAAATATTAGGGAAAAAGGTGGGATGGGAATACCACACGTATGTATGGGGCCTGTTTCAACACGTGAAGACGTGTGACGCCGACTGTGAGTGAAATATTCAAACTTGAATGATAAAAACGTCTGAGCCAGTTCTCCATCGTCTCTGTTTGGAGCTGCGTGCATTTTAACGATGTTTTTCTGGGGGGAAATTGTACATTTTGTACAATTTCTACTTGGCCGTTTTTGGCGAGTGATGTTCGCTCTTTCATATTACAGTTGTGAATCGGCGCCATTTGAGATGGAAAGATAAACAATTTTTCTATCGTTTGAATTTAAAAGCCACGTCATCCCCTCACACGGAGCGACGTTGGAGCGGTTTCTCTGTCCGCCTGATAAATGCGGCGCTTACGTTCTGCTGTGGTTTTGTCTCTTAAGGACATTAAGGGACATATTTGGTGCTTTGGCAGCTAAATGCCGAATCAAAGGAACGGCTGCATGTTTCTCAATGCCGTAATTTTAAGCTCCAAACAACAGCGTCTAACCTCCGCCTGTGTCCCCCCCCCCCCCCCCGTCAGCTGGTGTGCTCCATCATCGCCGGGGTTCTCCACTTCTGCTTCCTGGCGGCGTTCGCCTGGATGTGTCTGGAGGGCGTGCAGCTGTACCTCATGCTGGTCGAGGTGTTCGAGAGCGAGTTCTCCCGCCGGAAGTACTACTACGTCTCCGGGTACCTCATCCCGGCCGTGGTGGTGGGCGTCTCGGCCGCCATCGACTACCGAAGCTACGGCACGCAGCGGGCGTAAGTGTGACATCCTGCCGCGGATTTTCTTCTGTTGCGGGGATGAAAAATTAGTCTTCTCTTCACCCCCCCGATCGGCATGCACGCGTGTGCTAATGATGGCGGCGTGACGGAGGGGAGTCCACCTCTGCCCCGCGCGCACCCTGACACCCGGCGACAGCGCCTTCGTTCCAGGAGCTGCAGCTTTAATGAATGCGCCGGCCTGCCGGGCCCTTTACGTGGATAATTGCCGCCCTTGTCAGTTAAAAGTTCACGCTCTCCTCCGAAGGTCTTCATCCGAGCAGCAAAGCTTCGTGATTTGTTACACTAAACCTCTAATTTATGGAACCTAAGCGAATGCTTTTCTTCTTTTTTTCTTTTCTCCAAACCTCACGTTTTACTGCTGTGGTCTTTGCTTCATTTCCGTTTCGTGGAGGTAACGTCGGCGCGAGGTGTAATTCTTCTGTCGGCAGCACCATGTTTACCGTTCAGGGTCCCGGGTACACGGCGTCAGGCGTCCCACGTGTGTGGACCAGGGAGTCCCGGGTCCCGTGGCCTCTTCTAGGCGGCACGGGGCCGAGCGTCGGTGGAGTCTCTCTTCTGTTGTCGTGTCATCCAGCCGGCTCCGGTCGATGAGACGCAACTTTGTTTGGGCAAAGAGATGATTTTTTTTTTTCCCCCTGCAGATGCTGGCTGAGGGTAGATAACCATTTCATCTGGAGCTTCATCGGACCTGTAACGTTCATAGTTGTGGTAAGTAGCAATGTTGTGCACACGTTTTCTTTCAAAGAAGATCCTCCAAAACGGTTTATATAGATTCCCCCTTCCTCTCCGTACTGGCAGCCTCTTAACTCTGCTTTCTCCGATCAATTTGCATGAGAGTAAAGTGGTCCCATTATACCTGACACGAGGACATTCGTGCCCATTCAGCTATGAAATCCACTAGAATCAGAACCGGTGCGCAGCAACAAGCTCAAAGCTGTTTGGTCTCTGTACATCTGGAGAACACTCTCCTCCCGCAATCAGCACGAGGAATCGTCTCAGGCGTGAAGGTCATTCGCTCAGTGGGAAAACAAGGTAATGCTGGTGGTCTGTGGGGAGGGGGGAGGGGGGGGGGGGGCTTTGGAAATGGAAGTAATGAACGGGTGCGCCAGACATCCATTATTACAGCTCACAGCCCTGCTGAGGATCATGACACGGCGCACGGACGTCTCCATCTTCACCTTTTCAATATTTGTAATCTGTGCATAGGCTCCTATGTGTAATCTGTGCATAGGCTCCTATGTGTAATCTGGCCATAGGCTCCTATGTGTAATATGTGCATAGGCTCCTATGTGTAATCTGTGCATAGGCTCCTATGTGTAATCTGTGCATAGGCTCCTATGTGTAATCTGTGCATAGGCTCCTATGTGTAATCTGGCCATAGGCTCCTATGTGTAATCGGTCCATAGGCTCCTATGTGTAATCTGGCCATAGGCTCCTATGTGTAATATGTGCATAGGCTCCTATGTGTAATCTTTGCATAGGCTCCTATGTGTAATCTGGCCATAGGCTCCTATGTGTAATCTGGCCATAGGCTCCTATGTGTAATCTGGCCATAGGATCCTATGTGTAATCTGTGCATAGGCTCCTATGTGTAATCTGTGCATAGGCTCCTATGTGTAATCTGTGCATAGGCTCCTATGTGTAATCGGTCCATAGGCTCCTATGTATAATCTGTGCATAGGCTCCTATGTGTAATCTGTGCATAGGCTCCTACGTGTAATCTGTGCATAGGCTCCTACGTGTAATCTGTGCATAGGCTCCTATGTGTAATCTGGGCCATAGGCTGTAGCCCAAAAGGAACAGGGGAACTGCTGCATCAGCACTGCTGGGGTTTTTTGGCAGAGAAGAGAGACCTGAATATTGTAGAGGATGCCCCCTGGGGACAGCGGGGGGGGGGGGGGGGGGGTCCATATGTAGTTTGTCTCAGCTTTCTGCAGAGTGCCTCCCCGTTGGATGTGTGTCATGGCCGCCGTGTTAAATGCATCTGCAGCCCGTCATGCGGACATGAGTCGGCCCCAGTGGCCGAGAGACCAAAGTCGGCATTACTCTCTAAGCTGTGATCTGAAAGCCTCTTTCTGTCTCCTCAGCCACTCCTTTTCCCCCCATGTTGTCGGTTTCCATCTGCTTTCCACTCAGACGTTGCCCCTCTAGATGTTGCCTAGTTTCAGAACCAGTTCACATGTTGCGGATATTTTATGATCATTTTTGAAGCAAAAATTGAAAACGTCTGATAAACAGAGGCTCCTTTAGGTCACTGTGCTTTTTAATAACGTAAGAGTAAAAGGACAAAGTTGCTTCTCATTTATATTTACAATATCCTCCCTTCCCCTCGGGGCCCTCCGGGGCTCAGAGACTCTGCTGGAAGCAGGAAGCCTCCCTGGAAGCATCGCTCCATTCGCTGGACTGGGTTTTTTTTCTTGGACTCAGTAAAGAAATCTCATATTTGTTCTTGAGCTTTTGTTTTCGCGATCCATCGCCGTTCGGATGCCCGCTCTGGTATTTGATGAGGATTTGCTCTTCGGTCGGCGAGGTCGCTGTGCTTTTCATTTAGATGTTCCCTCCGATGAAGCTCTGCTAGTGTTGGTGCCAACTAATAGAGCCACAGCCACTCGTACATCAACCTTTAAGTCGGCGGGCGGCCTCACTACGGGGGGGGGGAGTATTACCAAACACGTGCGCTGTACTTTAGTGCTGCTTTGAGGTTTATTTTCCACTTTGTACTTAAACTCCACTTGATGTGCAAAGGAAATATTGCAGAGCTTGTTCTCCACTACGGTTATTTAAAGGCTCCCAAATGAAGGACGGCTGGAGAGCGTGTGGAGGATCATTTGTTACTGATTAATGAAATATGATGAGGAGCCCAGCGATTAATCAATGCCTGACAGAAAATCAATTGAAAAGTATTATATCATAGTAGTTTTTCATGGTTGATAATCAATTATCATTATAGACTTTTGAGCTTCTTTGTTGGAGAAAAAAAAGAAAGTTTGTAATTGTGATTCTCGTGAGTTTTTACAAAAAGAAAACCAATAAATCCATATTGAAAGTTATCATAAGTCATCAATAAAGAATAATATAATGATATAATGTGTAATATTATGGTATTTCACTACATTGAGTATGAATATTTCATTTATTCTTTTACTTCATGTACATCTTTGTGATTAAATGCATTTAAAGGCGGGACTTCCACTTGTATTTCCTCGGTGCTTCCTGTCAGCGGCGCCTCTGTTAATCCTGACGCGCGTGTGTTTTGACAGGTCAACGTCATCTTCCTGGTGGTCACCATGTGCAAGATGGTGAAGCACTCCACCTCCATGAAACCCGACTCGTCCAGGCTGGGGGGCATCAGGTGAGGGGCGTCAATCTGCTTTGTGTGTGTGTGTGTGTGTGTGTGTGTGTGTGTGTATGTGTGTGTGTGTGTGTGTGTGTGTGTGTGTGTGTGTGTGTGTGTGTGTGTGTGTGTGTGTGTGTTATGCACCGTTTCTGCTTCCCCTGCGTAATATTGAAAAGCCACATTAGACCAACACACTCATTTGATTCCCGCTCGTCTGAAAGCATCATCTTCCACGTCTTATTTTGTTGCCTCTTGAGTTCACGTCATGACGCAGGTTTAAATTGCCTTATTTATCCCTTCAGGACTGCGTTTCCGTTCCCTCGCCGTTTACGGGCTTCTCTTTGGAAGACGCGTTCACGTACCACATGTACACGTTTAAAGATGGTGGGAAAAAATGTGAGGAGGGAAGAAAAAAAAGCCCCCCCACCCCCCCTCCTTGTCTTTCCGCTTCAAGTGGGCTCGATTTAAAAAAAGGTCCCTGTCCGATTCGGCGCCGGGCTTCCTCGACCAACGAAGCGTTTGGGGGCGGGGCGGCGGGGGGGGGGGACATGTGGCCGCCGGGAGTTTGTTCCTGACCAAAGCAGAAAATGAGCTCATTAATAATCTACCCGCAACCCGCCAGGTGGCAACTTGTATAAAAAGATGAAATGTAATATTCAGACCACATCGCACACGGCGCTGAGCGGCATGTTGGCTCCGCCCCTCTCAGCGCATCAAAGGGCCTCCGTCATTCGCTGCAACGTTATTTTATTTCCTCCCGACTTTCCTGGAAGAAGCCGCTGCGTTCGCGCGTTCTTAGGCCGACAGCTCCGAGGGGCGGGGGGGGGTTATTATCGTTGTATCCGCCACGATGCCCCTCGTCATCCTCGCTCTTCCTCCCTGTGCCGCAGGTCGTGGGTGTCGGGCGCCTTCGCCCTCCTCTGCCTGCTGGGCCTCACGTGGACTTTTGGCTTGTTCTTCCTCAACGAGTCGTCCGTGGTGATGGCGTACCTCTTCAGCATCTTCAACACCCTGCAGGGGATGTTCATCTTCATCTTCCACTGCCTCCTGCAGAAGAAGGTAGTTGTTTAAATCAATAGTTGATTAAATCAGTTGCTGAAGAATTGATTTTAAAAGTTCTGAAATGTGAGGATGTTCTGTTTTTTCTTTTACTTTTGCGCTAATTCAATTTTCTTAGATCTTCGGGGAGGAAAAATATATAACTTTGAAAACCCCCGATTGTATTGACTTCAATTAGTCATAATTGATTAATGAAACTACAGTGGAGTCATTTTAATAACATTTTTGCTATTGTTTCAGTCACATGACCTTTGGCTCAGGAAAACAATAAAATGATACATAAAGGAAATCTGTATTCCAGCGTTAATGAAAATCTCTAATCTCTGCTAATCTTGTTTTGCGACACGTGCGATACCCACCTGTCATCAGACGCTGTTATTGTCCCAGTCGGCATTTACACAGCTGTCAGCCGGGTGGCATTTGACAAAGATCAGGGATTCACATCTCCTCCGCGGGGGGCCGAGGGAGGGGGCGAGGGAGAGGGGCGAGGGGGGGGGGGGCGTGTTTCTGTGCCCGGTCCGTCCTGATCTCCTGTTCCTCCGCAGGTCCGCAAAGAGTACAGCAAATGCTTCCGCCAGTCGCAGTGCTGCGGCGCCCTGCCGGCCGAGGGGCCGCACGCCGCCGCCAAGGCGGCCACGTCCCGCTCCACGGCGCGCTACTCGTCTGCCACGCAGGTACGCACACACATGCACGCACACACGCACACGGTTTAGGAGCTTGTAGAAAGGTTCCCTTCAGTTTGATTCCATGTGTTGGTGGAATTAGTTTTCATTTTTCTTAATTCTTTAAACAGGAAGTGAGGCGAGTTTTGAATTGCAAAAGAAATCCCGTTAAAAGAGCGAAACACCCTCAGTTCATTCTGAGCTGAGCGCACAAACAAAACGTGACGCTGACAAGAGCAACGATTGTGTAACGATTCACATCTGATCCCGGTTCAGTCTTCCATTTTAGTGCAGCTCACGCTCTTTTTTTTAAACCTGAAGGGCCACGTTGGTACTTGGATGTACGTCCTCGGGAACAAATGGCCTTCAGGCCACAGAGAAGCTGGACCACTCTGTGGATTCTGGTCTTTAGAGAAGCCTTTCAGTAGAGAAATCTCTATAGAAATATCTATACAGATATATATATGTTGGACTGCTACTATCATATATGATATTGTGCTCACTCTGAGACTAATGGTCTCTGAGGTCTTGCATTGAGACCTCATGAGATCTATCTGAAGAGCTCTTTCGGGGATTCGTGAGCCGACCTTTCAAATTAAAAGCTGCGAGACCCTCTGCGTGTCCGTGTTTGGATTTGTTTGGCGCGCGTGCGACCGAGCCGGCCGCCTGCTGGAGGTTAAATCTTTCATCCAGAGTGTAGCGCCACAAAAAAAAAAAAAAAAACCCGCACACGCAGCTCCTCCATCAGACGCCCGGAACAACAACAACAACAACAACAGCGGCGGCACCACGTTGAGTCCTGATCAATGGCCGCCTTCTCCTCCACCCAGAGCCGCATACGGCGGATGTGGAACGACACGGTGAGGAAGCAGTCGGAGTCCTCCTTCATCTCGGGAGACATCAACAGCACCTCCACGCTCAACCAGGGTAAGCCACCTCTTCTTCCACCGCCGCCGCGACGCACGCTTCAATGGATGGAGACCCGATTTAACGCTGCGCTTCTCTTCATGCTGAGCAGCAATAGCAAAAAGGAAAAGTGTTAAATGCTGCCTGGGTAGCAAAGTTCACAGCACGTCTCCTGCACCTCCCTCCCTCCCCCCCCGCCCCCCCCGCCCGGGGCGGATCTTCTTTTAGAGGCGAGGAGCTGCACAGGGGGGATGAGGGGCGACGTTTAGTGCGGCTGATGAGGTCTGGAGTTCAGGTCGTCGGGATGGAGGTGGAGGAGACGAGCAAAAGTCGGGCCGCGAGGTCGCCGCCGGTTTTGGGAGCGATCCCGATTATCTGACCGAGCCAGCACAGATTTTTGGCTGTAGTTATATATATATATTTTTTTTAAACAGACTTGCCAGCGCAAAGGTCCTCAGCGATCCATCTAAATGGCCGAGGGTTGTTATTACATTCTCGAGGATTTACACAAGCAGGCCCAGGACGATGGGGATACTGTATTATTCATGGCAGGCCGACCAGACATGTTATGTCTCGTGTCCCGACTGGATGAGTTTGTTTAGAAGGATTTGTTTCACGTAAACACTGCAGCTGATTGCGCTGCTGCGCTTTGGTCAACACTTGGTCGCGATAACACTGTTTGTCAGTCACATCACATGACTGTTTGGATAAAGTTTCCAAAGGCCGCTTTGTGTCCCTAATCGAAGGCAGGCGGACCGTAGGTCATGGATATTTTGCGGGGTCAGATTCTGCACGGCGGATGTCGGTGTGGACGGATGCTCAGGCCCGAAAAGTACCGCACCTCCGACGCGGTTTTCCTCACCTGTTTTCTCCCCTTTTGTGTGTCTCTCTCTGTTCCTGTTGTTCCAGGGATGACTGGCAACTACCTGCTGACTAACCCTCTCCTCCGAACCCACGACACTAACCCTTATAACAACCTGCTGGCAGAAACGGTGGTGTGCAACACCCCCTCTCCACCGGCCTTTCACTCCCCAGGTGCACGTCCACCCTCTGCTTTTATTCCTACATTGATTTGTGTGTGTGTGTGTGTGTGTGTGTGTGTGTGTTGAAACTTGAAAGGCAGTTTAGAAATACACTCATTGGCTTCCTGAGGGTGAGTAAGGATCGAGAGACGGTCGATGCCACTCTCATGTCTGTCAGGGCAGCAGCCAGTTAGCTTAGCTTAGCTTAGCTTAGCATCAACACTGGGAGCTACGGGTCACAGAATCTACGTAGCTGCATCCAATCAACGCGTTGCCGCTCGTTTGTTCCGCGCGCGCGACAACGGGAATCCGAGCGTTTCTTTGGCTCTTGGTAGTTGCTAAGCAACACACGGGGACTCAAACAAAGAGCCGGCGGAGCCCATTTAACCACTTCAAATAGCGGATGATCACATTTAGGACTGGGGGGGGAATAAAAAACCCAAAATAAGATTTAATGAGTATGTGGGTGTCCCGGCTAGGCGTTTCTACCCGTTTCCAGTCTTTGTGCTAAGCTAACCGGCGGCTGGCTGCCGCTCCAGAGTGGAAAATCAGAAGTGAGAGTGGCACTAGTCGCCTCGTTTAACGGCTCGCCTGCAAGTGTGTTCGATTCAAAACATGAGAATCTTGACACAACACGCCTGAGAAATGTTGAATGATTCCTCCGCCTTCCCGCCGCCGCAGTTTGTCGTTCACGAGCGCAGAAGGAGATAATCATCTCTTCGGCTGAGCGGTCCTATTGTTGAATATGAGCTTTTGTGGGGTCCGACTCTCCAAAGCGCCTTTTCTGCTTCAACACTTTGACGCGCTGGTTCGGATCATTTATGCGCGCACACGTCATTTACATCAACATGTTTACATTCTTCCTCGCTTTACTTTGAATTACATCAATTTGAATCAAGTCGGCGCTGAAGGTGACCTAGTTCCTCACTGGCGGAGCAACAGAAAACCCCATCAAAGAGGAGAAAATAACCACGGCGGTGACGCAATGCGGGCGGAATCGTAGCCCTCAGATATTCCTCAGCATTTGATGATAAAAGAGAATATACAAAAACAGCAGCAGCGCAAAAAAAGCCGCGTGCGATGAGAGCGTGCGAGCTGCAGCCATCGCAGAGCGCTGGGCGCCGCGAGCACGCCACACGCGCCCGTTAATTAAGCGGGGTCGCGACCGCACAACGTCAGCACACCAGAGACTCTTTTCTTTTCTTTTTAAAAAAAATATTATTCTCCTGATGCTGAAATGTGTTCAGAGCGCCAACGCTTCCCTGCTCGGTCGTCGTGGAAACGACACGCTAACATACACGCGGATGCAAAGCGGCCCCGCGTTTAAACGCCGGAGCCGTCGCCCTCCTGGGGGAGGACGAGCGCGTCCAGATGTGGAAGGAGAACACCTCTGGTGGATCCGCGCTGGAACGCGTCCCAGAGTGCAGCTGCTGTCCACTCGCTCCAGACGCTACCTGGCTGCACCCGTCGCCGCATGCGCATAAACAAGTGACAATCTGGATGGAGGGTTTATTTAGAGAGGTGTCTAATAGTCTTCCAACACCCGTCCATCACCCGCCTCCCCCCCCCGTCCCCCCCCATCACCCCCCCTCCTCTTGTTTGCCCTCTGCTCTGCTCACGCTTTTTTCTTTTTTAGAAATGCTGTGATGTTGTTTCAGAGCTTCTTCAGTTGTTATAATTCTTCTTTTCTGACACATTTGTTTGAAACCTAAAACTGCAGATTCCTCACACCCCTCCCCACAACACACACACACACACACTGTAAGAAGTCACACATTCACTTACAGGCTCACATTGTACCCAATAAAGTAAACCCTCATATCAAAAAACAAGCCCCACTTCACTGTCATCAGGCTGCACAAAATACTCCACTGTGTGTGTGTGTGTGTGTGTGTGTGTGTGTGTGTGTGTGTGTGTGTGTGTGTGTCCTGTTCAAATTCTGTTGGAGTGAAAAAAGAAAGGCAATCATACAATAGGATGCTGAAGCCTTCCTGTGCTTGCTGCTGAGCCCTTTTCGCCTGCTGAGTCCAGGATTCAGGCGTCCTTCATCCGTCCTCCGCTCAAACTGCTAAACGCGTCGTCCCGCATCCGCCGACCACGACGCACCACACCGGCTACAATACGGTCAATGGCGAGGACACGAGAGTCGGGGCGCGCTGAATCCAGGCTGGATGTTTGAGGCTTTGAGCACTTTGCTCTTATTTCTGTGATTTTATTGTTTTCTGCTGCAAAATTGAAAAGAAGCATCTGTTTTACTTTTTTTTGTTTTTGCACATCAGCTGTTCTTAGGCCAGATAGCCTGAGCAGACACACTTGATGTGAGTGTTGGCGAAGTGAGTCGTTGCACCGTGCCTGCCTGTCGTGGTGTGTGTGTGTGTGTGTGTGGGGGGTGTCGCTGTGCTCGGGGGGGGGCAGAGAGGTGTCTGGCCATCTGTGTTCGACATTACTCTTTTGCCTTGCCTTCTTTTTAACAGGTGGAATGTTTTATTCATTGTTTATGTCACCAGCTTGCATCCATTTATTTATTTCACGCCCCTCCTCCCTTTGTGCACGCCGCCGTGTTGTTGTTACCTGTAGCTTGCTGCTGTGCCGTGTTTTTTAAGTTCAAAAGTCATCTTTTGTTCTCATTTTCGACAATATTGTTCAGGATAATCTGATTGGCTTTGATGATTTTCAGGCATAATGAGGGAGGACGTGGTGGAGGGCGGATTGGGTTCGCCTTAACGTGTCTTAACATTTGCATTAAATTAAAATCAACCCAGAGATCAAAGCGTGCCGAGTCCTGAGCAGTATCGAGTTGTGTGTGTGTGTGTGTGTGTGTGTGTGTGTGTGTGTGTGTGTGGTGATGCTCCTCAAAACAACAAGAACCGCAAACCGCATCTCACGCACTCTTCTCGCCTTTTGTTGCAGGACAGCACTCTCTGAGCAACAGCAGGGACATCAGCGCCATGGACACCCTCCCCCTCAATGGCAATTTCAACAACAGCTACTCCCTGCGAGACGACACCTATGAGAGCGTCCGCGCCGCGGGCGACCTGGGGGGCCTCCACCTGGACGACGTCGCCTTCGAGAAGATGATCATATCCGAGATCGTCCACAACAACCTGCGGCCCCGCGGGGGCCCCAAAGGCCGCGACCACCCGAGGGAGCAGGAGAGAGCCCCGCCTCCGCAGACCAGACTGACAGTGGGCCGGGGCGGCGGCGGCGGCGGGAGCGGCAGCGAGGACGACGCCATCGTGGCGGACCACGAGGCCGCCTCCCCCCGGAGGGGAAGTGGGAGAGGAGGCCACGCCACCCTGGAGCTGCTCCTGCACCCCCACCACAAGGAGGTGCTGGAGGCCCCCCTGCTGCCCCAGAGGACTCACTCCCTGCTCTACAGCGCCCAGAAGGCCCCCCGGCGCCTGGAGGGCCCGGGCGGCTCTGAGGCCGTCACTGCGGCGGAGACGCCGGCTCCAAGTCGCCCGGCAACAACAACAACAACAGAGACTCCCTTTACACGAGCATGCCCAACCTGAGAGACTCGCCCTCGGCTTCGCCGTACCCCCCCGACGAGGACGAGGACGGGGAGGAGGAGGAGGAGGACGCGGACGGGGAGCAGCTCGCCTCCTCCTCGCCGCGGAGCGAGAGCGAGGACGCGTACCACAAAAGCATGCCCGAGCTGGGCGACGGGCCGCAGCCGCTCTCCTACTACCACATCAACCGGGGCACCAGCGACGGCTGCATCCCGCCGCCCGGCGGCGAGGGCTGCGCGCAGGAAGGGGCGGAGCCCGCCGACGGACAAATGCAGCTCATCACCAGCCTCTGAGCGCGGGGACGGCCGCGTAGAGAGAGAGAGAGAGAGTCCGGCTCCGCACTCCACCCGCCCCTTCCTGTGAGGACAGGAAGTGAAATGTTGTTGGGGGGGAGGGACAATGAGCAAAGACACGACTTTGTTTTTTGTTTTGTTTTTTTTCTTTGCACACGGATCCCCGTCAAACACACGAAAGACGCGGCGGGACGAGCGAGGACCGTGAGAGCTGCCGGGACGAGGCACCGAGGCTTCTCGGTTACCGTCGAAGAATTAAGAAAAAAAAAAATACTTCAAGCAAAGAACTTTGAAACTCCGGACGTATTCTCGGGGGACTTTGCAGAACCAGGGTCTTTTTAGTCACCGAGTCCAGAATAGAAGTCAGTCGGGACTGTAAAGTTAAGAAACCACTAATTCAGACTCAGGCCTTATATTTTCTCTATTGCACATTTAACTGTTGTCAGAGTAACAGCTAAAGAAAATATATTTTGCTGTACCACTAGTGTAAGAATGAAAAAAAAGGAAACGGCAACCAGTCAGTAGTTTCTCCCCGTCGGTGTAATGCGATTCTTCAGACGACGTTCATCCAGATGGAACTGTGCTTTTTGCTCTCACACTTGACTCGTCGTATTATGTTTGAATAAGAAAACAAAAAGGAGCGATCCATATGAATTCATGCTCACGTCTCTGCTTGTGAAGTGCTTTTTGCTTTCATGAATGATGAGTTTTTGCCAGTCGTGTATTTGTTGACACCGGGCCATGCGCAGATTTGGAGTAAAAAAAAACAACTTTGTAAGAAATTGTCAGGTTTGAAGACTTATGTTCACGAGGATATCGCGACATATTTCATCCTGTGACTTTAATTAATTTATTAAGTGAACTAAAGTGAAAAAAAGAACATGGTTGGAAAGTGTGAAAAGTTGTTGCAGCACTGATTTGGTTTGTTTTCTTTCTTTTGTAAGTCCATCATCATCAGCTGATATTTAATTCAACTCCTGTTTGATATCAAATAAATGTGAAATTTCTTTCTTGTTCTCAGAAGTTTTTTCTCTTTATTTGTGTGTTGCATAAAACAAAACTGCCATAAATTTGTTACTTATAACAAATCTCAAGAGACCAGAACTAAGAACCCGTGTGAAATAAAGTGCTGCAGAGAAAAGTCCTGAAGGCTCGTTTTATTAAACGGTCCAAAACCCAAAGGTGATTTAATACCTTTAATAACCAAAGCGATGCCACGATGCAGCAGCGTGATACTCGCTGGTTTTATTGGGAATTATCTTCATTAGCAGATTAACACACATCTAGTGAAGATTTACAGCAACAGGACAGAATTACATCTAAATGAACCATTTTTTACTTCAATGACTGAATGCGTTTAAAGGGAAGAGTTTAAAGCAGAAGTGATTGACACGCATCGACTGGTTTGACTAGTGTAGTTTGGCCAGTTGTCGCTAGAAAGATCACTTGAGTTAAAAGTTTAAACGTCCAAAATTAGTTTTATTTTTAAGGAAGTTAGGTTGTTTCTGTACAACAAGATATTTGAAAATGTCCCAAGCTGTCAAAGTCGCTCACTCACTTGAGTGACAAGAGGAAACCGCTTCATCGCTGCTGCCAAACTCGCGTGTGGCTTTATCGTTGTTTAAACATTAAGGCCGTCAAATTCCCAAAAAGAACTGTCGATATGACAGACGGAGCTAAAAATACTGTTTGTTTCCGTCTTTTCTTGATGAGATTTTAACCTTTAAAAGAAAGTCAAGTATTCTCTTCTGCTGACGAATGAACTTGTGACATCAATAAGTTCTCACACTCCCAAAAACAAATGTCAAAACTCTAAATCCAGTTTGGCCCCCTGCGGTTCGCGTGTGTGTGGAGACGTAGCAGCTGAGGAGTGGCACCAGTAAACGGGTCTGACGGCCCGCGATGGATCCCAGTTACAGAACAATCATCTTGTGTCAATCACAACAATAGCAAATTCATTATGACACGTTTTCATTTTGAGAAGTTGTGACAGCTGCCGCAAACGCTTCCCCCGGCGTGGAAGCCGCGGCCTTTAGCCGCCCAGGCGGGCGAGAACGCACTCGGGCCGCAATTATGCAAGTTTACAGAGATTCGCCGTAATCGCTTCTGATCGATGTCTGGACCGTTCCGTGTGCCGAGCGGCGAGCGGAGAGGAGGCTCCCGTGGAGGATTTAGCAGATTTAGTGCTGTGACTTTCCAACTGACCACACACACACACACACACACACACACACTGAGCCGCTGCAGTGTCCGGGTGGTGCACTTTATTAGTTGGAGCAAGGTGCCAGGTTGCTGTCAAGAGCCCTGACGAGGGAGGTGAGGGGGAGGGAGGGAGGGAGGGAGGGAGGAGGCCCGAGGCAAAGCTGTGGATCCACCGCGTCTCCCCCCGCCTGGTTGTTTGAACATCGGCCTCTCGGTTTACACGCCGACGTCCCAGAAGGCCGCGGAGGCGGAACGCCGGCCGCCGAGTCCTATACGGGTTTAATGCAAAGTCGGGGGGTGGGGGTGGGGGTGGGGTTGGGGGGGCATGTGTGATGTCACCGTTATCATAACAGCCCACAAATCGTGATGGGCGAATGCGCCGAGCTCCCTTTGTACAGCGCGAGGATCGCTTTTGCATGGTGCATATATATTGGTTCATTACCAGTAAGTCACCTGTGCTGTGTGCTCCCCCCCCCCCCCACACACACATCCTCCCCCAGCCCATTATCTTAAAGAACATTGGATTCTGGAGTGGAACGATATATAGATGATCATTTCCTTGCCCCGGTAACGGGATCATCTTTAAGGCTTTTTCTTTTTTTTAAAGTTAGGTAAAGGCACAGAGAGGTGGCGAAATGCGGCAAAAGGCGACGGGACGGCTTGATGGGGGGGGGGATGGGGGCTGCAGTGTTTTTTGTGTGTGACGCGTGAGGGCGGGTACGATCGAGGCGTCATGAAGTGAAGGTTTGTCCCTCTGAGAGTCCAACGCGGACACGACGTGGCCCCCCAAGCATGTTTCCCTCTACGTTGACTTTACTCCAAGTGGAACCATAATTTACTTTGAGGTGCTCCGAGAAACTTTCATGCTGTGTTGACTTTGGCAGCGAGTGTGAGTGTGTGTGTGTGTGTGTGTGTGTGTTGGGGGGGGGGGGTCGGTGTTCCTGAGCTCCGTGTTGCCTTCAGAAAAACCTGTGATTTTACTGCTGCAGGCGTCTGACAGTCTGCTGCGTTCGGGTCCTGTCCTCCTGCGCCTCCCTTCCCTCCGGCGGCCCGGTACGCGGCCCGGGGCCCCAGCAGCGTGCTGTCTGAAGCAGCTTTAGGAGAAGCTCTGCTCATGCTAAAGGGGGGGGGGTAACTCCACGTTGGTGATATAGAGGCATCTGTTTTTGAATAATCGCTTTAAAAGCTCCTCACTGGGACTTTAATGAGCATCGCGCTGCATTTACATTTTTATTGAGGTGATAAATCCGGCGAGAGGAAGGTTTTCATCTACGAGCCGACACACTTTTCAGAGCCGGAGGTGGGCGACCAGCGGGAACCTTCCGGGTCCCCTCCGGGTCCCCTCCGGGTCCCCTCCTCATCCGGCTGGGAGGAATGCAGGCCGTTCTCCCCCTCCAAAAAGATCCTCCGCCCTTTGACCGCCGTTACCGTTGTCCCCCGATGGCGTCGTAACGCCGCGCGGTCGCCCGAGAAGGTCGTCAGAGTTTGTCCGGAGATGAAAGCGCTTCACCAACTCGCCTTCTGTCCGTCGGCAGTCGGGGGCAAACGGAGGAGCGGCGAGGTTCGGTCCGAGAAGGCGTTAAGCGTGTTTTGGTTTGGGGTCTGTTTGATGTCCCGGCCTCTGGAGGTCTGGACATTATTTCATGTCCATCATCAAAAAGACATCAAACAAGATGCTGCTTTCAAAATCACATCAGAGAGCTCGGGCCCAAAACGCGCGCGCTCGTGTGTGTGTGTGTGTGTGTGTGTGTGTGCGCTGCCTAAATGTAGCCCGTGTACTTGTGTGTGTGTGTGTGTGTGTGTGTGTGTGTGCATATATATATTTTCCTACATAAATTATCCTGAACTTTGATCAAAGCTTTAACGAGTCAGCTGTTTGACCTCCTGCTTAAACAAAGACATTATCGCCCATAATGAAGCGGCGCTCTGCTCAGCGTGGAGGAAAGGGGGGGACGGGGGGCGGAGCTCCGGGCAGGTCGCTCCTCGTTGACCTCGGCTCACTTCACGAGCTCTTCTCCAGCAGAGCCGAGCGCCGGCTGGAAGCAGAGCTGGAACACAGAGTGCTTCCTCATGCCGTTTACTTCGCAGCCATCGACCCACGGGCCCATTTGGAGAAGCAGCCCCCCCCCTCCCCCGGTGGGTGTGTCGGGTGGGCCTTTTCTTTTTTTCAGGTGGAGATTTAGTGATTTCAGGGCCCCAAACAAACGCCACCTTGCTTTACTTCTCTCAGTGGGAATGTTGGTGAAGAAGAAGAAGAAGAAGAAGAAGAAGAAGAAGAAGAAGAAGGCCACTCACTTAAACACTATTCAACCACAAATAGTGATGAATGATGATGGATCATAACTTCATAATCGTATGTTAGGAGACTTTAGTTAATGTGCCACTGTGGGAGTTCACAGCTGAGCTCTTCCTGAAGCTGCCTTTGGGCTACAACGAGAACATGTAATACTTTTCATATGTAAACATCGTAATAAATCTGCAGTCGTTGGAGGCCCACAGGCTCTGTTCTTCTCCGTGACCATGAAGTGGTAAAGGAAGCCCGGCGGTTTGTCCTCTGAGCCAGCGAGCACTTTTCACTGCCGTTTCTGACAGGCAACAACTCTGTTTCTGCCGTTCGGCTCAAACTGTGTCGTGTTGTTTGCAGTTTCCAGTCGCCACCAGGACGTCAGGCCGCTTTCATATTCCTGCGCCGCCATATTTTTTCCTTCACCTCGACATGTTGCCCCAGATCGCGCCGTTTGTCGCATAATCTCTTTGTTGCCATTAACGTATTTTTAAGTGCGCCGTAAATAAAAATAACTTTCTCCTTTTGGCGCCTGCACTTTGTTGTGTTAAACGCTCGTTAGCTCATCAGCACCAGCGGCCCGACGGAGAGCGCTGGCTTCCTCCCCGACGCCAACAAAGAGGCCTATTATGGGAGATTAGGACTCGAGGCTTAAAATATGCTCCAGAGTCCTCTTTGAGTCCAGCTGACTGAGGCTTGATATCATTTTCTGTTGCGTTGAGGAAATGAAGGAAGCAGAAGGCGAGCGTTCCAGAGACGGGGAGACGGGGAGACGCTGCGAGACGGACGAGCTGCAGCAGCGATGTAGGAAACACCGGCGCCGACCTGAGAGTTGGGCCCAGGAAGCCCGTCACACCGCCACGGCGCAGGAAACGCTCCCCCGAGGGGGTGCGGGGGGGGGGACGCCTTTCTGTCGGGGTCGTCTCTGTTAAAACAACAGCCATGCGTCCCCCCCGACAGACACACGTGACGTAGGACGGCTAATAGCCAGAGGAATGGTTCCCCCAATTCTGAGAAATTGCTCCCACGGTTCCGTTGGAGACAAAAACGTAATGATTGTAATTTAAAAGATACCGGACGGCGAGGGAGGGGGAGAGGGGGGAGGGGGGGGGGGAGATTGTGAGAATAAATCTCAGTGAAGCGAATCAATGAAACACATGTTGAACATAAAGAACGGCGGTTTTTTACTGCATCGCGCCGCTTCAATGTCCCTTTTGATACGCGACTCACATTGTCGGCTCAAATAAATCCTCGGTGAGAAATAGAGATTAATTTTGCTTGCAGGCTGAAAGTTGTATACTACGGAGTATAAATGTTTTATTCAGCGGTGTTTCACGATGATAATTATTACTCATTCCCACAGATGTTTTTCATTCATCTCTGAAACCGTGGAGCCGTTATTTACACCGAAAGAAAGTCACCATTTTACAAACACATCTGTACCTATTTTACATTTCCAACTCATCGCGTGAAAAAAAGGAAAACGGGCCGAGCGTGGAGAGGCGGCGCCGACTGCTAACGTGATTACTTTTTATAA